GCGGCTGCTCTAATGAAGATGAATGCCTCGAAATTCGTCTTGCATATTTGGAGTTAATGTCGGCGTGAGTTCTGGTATAAACCAAGAGCATTTGATCAATTCCCCGAGCCTTCAATTTCGATACTCTTCCGCAGAACAGAAATAGTACTTAAATTATGCGGTTCTTATAACTGATTGTAAGGAACTCAGAAGAATCAAGAACTAATGAATCAATTTAAGAATCATGTTTGTGTTCGGTGACCCTGAAAATATCAAGAAACTGTAATATTTACCGTATTACATTAAACTTTTCAAAAATGGTTGAACACTATAAAAGAAGAATAAAAGAATTCCAGATCTTTTAAAACAGGTTTTGAACGCAATAAATAACATAATACTTGTACATTGTGGTGTCGATAGTATGTAACATTCATTGGCGTGAAACTTCCGCTGACGAAATTTTTATTTGTTTGTTTGATTTGTGCATATTTATGAAACCTATAGTAATCAAACTTTGATTTCTTTTTTTACTTAAACTCTGTTTAATCAACCTATCGATTGTGTCGCCAAGATAGAATGAATCCCAAGAAAGATTTATGTGTGTTGACCTTTCACTTCAAGATAACTTCAAGCAGAAATATTTTTAGCCTTCAGTAAACTTAGCAGTGCATACAGAGATAAACCCAAGTGTCTTAAGGGAAAATACGTGCGGTCGACAAACTAAGAGCACATGGCCATTGTGTTTTGATATCTGACAGAAAAGAAGGTTGATTTGACAGAACAACCTCTCAAAACTATCATTATTACTGACAAAAAACTCATAATCTGCGTGGAATTCCCATTGTGTGTGACTGTTTATAAATCTCCAACAGAATCACACTCTTGCAAATGATTTATCTGAAATATGAACACATTTACTTCAGTTTTCTACATAATTACTTGCAATTAGCGTTATGAACAGTATGCTATCGCAGAGCTTATAATATTGCAAGGAGTACGAAGTGTTGCTTATGTAGGCAATGAAAATATCGAAACGGAATGAACCAAATACGAAGTTATATTTCAAATGAAAAGAAATTTTGTCTGATATTTAAATATTTTTATTCACGTTTGACAAACAATGGTCATAGACATATCAAAACTGCATCAATTTTTGTTTAAAAATAAAGAGTATGTCAACATCCTGAAATATGTTCATTTTCATTGCCTTTGACCTTTTCTCATTCTTAAGTGAAAATTCCCTACGGCAAAATACTACGATTCACTCAGACAACTTGGTGAAACCGTAAGATAATTAAATGGTCTACGAAGACATTACCTATTTACGCTGTCCGTTTAGATTCATTTAATACTAATAAACCTGTTTAAGGATTACAACCTGCAAAGATACAGTAAAATTCGATCACAGAAAGCTCTCGAATATAATTCGCACTTACATTCTCTTTAATCAGCTTTTTGTTCTTCCTTTCAATCAGTTCCTTTGATGTTATCCGTTTCCTCAAAATCATAACCACCATCATTTCTTACATAGTTTCTATATGTTCAGCCAACGAGCAAAGTAGAACATACAAGGCCCTTATTATCCGAGCATCAAGAGTGCGAAAAGTTTCAACTTTTCGATATGTAGGGGACACGATGTCACACGTAACTTGCAGTCTTCTTTGTATTCTTCTCTTCCACATTGAATTTTCCATTTTCGTCACACTACACCCTTGCCTTCATTGCTGCCTTCACAGCTCTCTCTCTCTCTCTCTCCTTCTCAATCTCTCTCTCCTTCTCAATCTCTCTCTCCTTCTCAATCTCTCTCT